AACTTAGATATAATTGTTTGAATTCATTTAAACATAGCAATATTAAACTTGTTACATGTTAACATAAATAACATTTTTATGAAAAATAACTTTTTCCCCAAACAGAAACATTAGTGAGTTGCAAATTTCTTTAATTCTTCACTCAACAGGAGAGAGTTATATTTTCATATCTATGTCTACTTTTAGTTTGTTGCTGTATATTTTGGTTGAAGGATATGAAGAAAATTTGACCTCACACAGATCTGTAGTTGGAAAAGGGAGGAATATTTTAATAGCTTGTTCAGTTACTTGTAGATATTCTTTGGTAATACACAAAGACATATGGCAGTTTCTTAAAGGCGAGTTATAGTGTGAAATATGAAAATATGTAAATAAAATTATTATTTTGGAACTTTAAATTCATTGATCTTTCCTGAGCTTTCAATGAATCATATCCATGCATGATTTTCTAAGATGTTTCTAGAAAATTGGAAAATATTGGTTCATTAAATTATGCAGATCTTCCAAATATTGACACAATATCAATCATTTGTTAATATCACTGTTGATCTTCTCAGAAGAGCCTTTGGGTATTGAGAAGCTGATAGACCTCTGCAAAGTGGGGACTTGGTTCCAGCATGCATGTGTTTTGGTTAACCTGGTATCTACCATGCAAAGAGGGACAGTCTGTAGTACAGGGGTCCTCAAACTTTTTAAACAGAGGGCCAGTTCACTGTCCCTCAGACCGTTGGAGGGTCGGACTATAGTTTAAAAAAAAACTATGAACAAATTCCTATGCACACTGCACATATCTTATTTTGAAGTAAAAAAACAAATGGGCAAAAACACCTGCATGTGGCCCATGGGCCGTAGTTTGAGGACACCTGCTGTAGTGGATGCAAGTTTTGTAAAAATCTAAGTTTTGCTTGGAAGTTCATGTTTCATCATAAGCAACACATACTATTCATCATTTTCCTTAAAGTCATGGACTCACTTCATTTTCAAGAAAATATTTGCCAAATAAGCTTGAATAACCATAGTTTGTCTTTCAGCTGTTCTTTTAAGTAAAAATGGTGCTCCATGATAAGAGTCTCTAGTTCAGTTCACAACTCAAATCATTGCACACGTATTTTTTTGAGACAGCCTTTGTGTTGTGTACAGCAGCAGTTCTTTATGTGTATTTCTCATCTCATCACACAGAACATTAAAAAGTTGGGTACTCAAGAGTCAATTACTTACTACTTTTTACGACTTCATTAAGGATATTCTAAAGTGAACCTTTTCTCTTCCTCATCCTCTGAGTAAAAGTGCTTGGCATCAGTGCTGGGCAGTGGAGAACATCATGGTGGATAGTTCAGCTTGGTGCCAGTGTCTTGATTCGTGCTCAGCTGCCAATGGTTTTACAGACCACAACCACTGCTTTTCACCCTCAGTGCAAATGTAGACACAGTGCAAGAGGCTGTGTGCACTTCTTTAGGTATTTTTATGCAAATAGTTTGACTTAATGGACTCTTTTGAAAGGGTCTTGGAGACCACTAGGGATGTGTGGGTCGTTCTTTGAGAACTGCTGGTATAAAAGATATAAATACCATCTTCTGTAAGCAGGTTTATGGCACTTGGCTGTATGTTACCCCCTTTATATTCTCACAATTGTAATTTATGAAGGTTCAAATAATGTTAACAGTTATTAGTCTGCTGCTTGCCTTGGCTAATATGATGAATATTTTAGATTGAGCTTTTCAAAAAAAATCTGTGATACCAGATTATAAAAAAAATTTACTCCTGTTTATCTTCTTGCTGTATTAGATTTTGAAAATATAACTTTAGAGTATTTTTATCTGATGAAACAACTACAGTTGGATTACTGAATACAGTTATCTTTTGAAAGGATAGGCTTGTAATTATTAAATATTAATAGTTTATTTATGACGACAAAAGTTTTTATATTCCTGAACACTTACCCAAATAGAGAGGAAAATGTGTTTGTAAGTTACTTGATTTCTTGTTCATCTGCATTAACTGTGCATGTTCACATTAATAAAAAATTTTGCAGATGAGTATTTCACTGGGTGGAATTAAGTCAATTTTTGCTTTACTGAAAGCTAAAAAAAAAACCTTGCTGCTCCAAACCCTTGCACTTCTGTGGCTGACCACTAGATGTCATGAGTGCCATGGGAGCATTAAGGATTACCCTGGGCGGGCAGAAATTGAGCATTGTAAGATCATAGACCTTCACATATTTCACTGTTTCCACATGATCGATGCCAGAGGAACCTGATACAGTGTGATATATAGAAGCAAGGTACAACTGGAATAATGAAATTTCAAAAATAAGCCTTTTTAAAGGAAGGTTGTAATAGTTCTATTGGGTATTGTAAATGCCTCAGGTGCACTTGATACTGCTGTTATGTTCCTGGCGTTTGGGTTTTTCTCTTTTTTATGGAAAGATGGATTGAACTTCAATTTAAGAATATTCGGTAATCCCTCTCAGGACATACTGTAACAGCTGGTATTTTGTGTTGTAGTAAATCGATTCCATACAACAGTCAGTAATAATTATGGCTGGTTTCTGACAAATTCCAAAGCATTTTCAATAAATTTAGCCAAAGAAAATAACATCATTACTGCAAAAATTTAACTCAGTTTAGAAGTTAAACCCAGCAACTCTACTTCGTTCCACAAAATATTAAGTATTTTACTGGTTAGGATTCTATCAAAACATTTTTAAAATTCATATTCTTGTATATGGTCTGAGAAGATAATTACTGTGTAGTAAATAATATGGCTTTGGGAAAATTTAGCATTGAATATTCATTATGAAATAAAAATCAGAAATACTAAGACCTTTTGTATATGGTACATATTTACAGCATCACTATCAGCTTAAAAGAGTGTATAATGTAAGATCTTTAGTGTTAGTAGAGTGTGAGTGTTCCAAATGATAATAAATTTTAGTTTTTGTTTAATATAAGCATAATTTGGCTTATTATATGGGATATGTGGCTTACAGAAGTGAAATGTTATAAATTCGTTAAGCCCTGAAGAAAGTGGTAGATTGCATGGTATATATTGTATTGTGTGTATGTATATGCTTTTTATGCCTTATAAATTATGACTTTTCTCATAGCATACAGAGCTTGTTACATGTATGCATACATACATATAGTAAGTACCTACCTACACACATAAATATATATTATTCTAATGGTACAAATGTGTGTGCATACATTTTACAGATTTTAACCAGTTTTCCTTTTTATTCTATCAGCAAAAGTCTAGTAATTGAGTGCATTCTTTAAATTATATGTGGTCTGTTTTTGACTTTGTATTTGAATTGCGTAATTTTTAGCTTTGCTTTATTTAAGGGACACTTTCATGTAGTTTAAGCTTAATCCTGATAGAATAATTTATGAAAGCAAAGCAAAGTTGTCTTTTAAAATTATTGGGGAAAGCGGCTTCAGAGGTAGACATGAATGAAACCTTGCCTATATCATTTTTTCATTTTTGGCTTAGTGATTTATATTTTTATTTGGTATTTGGAATGATTGTACTCATTTTTAATTAGCACCTCTATGTGGATTTATATGCATGTTTTAACTGTGTCAGGCTTTGTAATAATATAAAGCTAAATTCAAATTAGTCTATTTGATGATGAATTTTTTTGATGGTAACTTTCACTTTGACAATTAAAAAGCTAGTTTAGAAAAATTTAATAGAATCTTACAGTTTGGAGTTTTTTCAAGTAAAATTTGGAATGCTTATTTTTCTTTATTCTATAATATGAATCAGCAACTTGAAGGCTTTAAGAAGTGATGTGAGCCAGGTTTTCTACTATTTACATTGTCTTTTTTTCTTATCAGTAATATATGTTAAAATAAGCCTTCAAATTACTGAATTTGCTTTATAGAGAATTGGGGAGAATGCATTAAAAATGAACTTAAACACATTGTGTGGTTCTTCTGATTTCTACAAAAATGTTAATGGAGTGCATTTTCCGTTATTAGGCAGCGGTGATTCAAATTGAAACCACATGGCCTCCTTCTAGGTGTTAGGCTAATGTAAATTTTGATCGTGCTATTTTTTTTTTTATGTTTTCATTTTATACTCTCATTACCTGAATTAAAGAAACACTAGTATAATAGCCAGCATTTATTGTTTATTTACTGTGTACCAGACACTGTGTTGTATGCTTTAACACATTTAATTAGTTCTAAATTACCATTGTCTCCATTTGCATATAAGGAAGTTAAGGCTTAATAAGATTAAATAACTTTTCCAAGATCACAGGGCTGGCAGGATTAGAGATTAAGCCAAACTCTAAAGCACTTGCTCTTAGCTGCTATACTATACTATACTGACTTCCCTATTTATTTTGGGATAAATATTAGTTATTGAAAAAAATGTTGGTATTTTCTCAGATACCTCAAAGCTTAGTTTTTACTAAAAGAATTTACTTACATTTGTTAGCTTGGGTTGTTGTGTTTAGTTTAGATTACTAACACTCTGTAAATCTATAATAACATCTTCCTTCAACTCTAGTAAATATTCTTTCAAGTTATTTGCAGTCTACACTCGGAGAGCTGTGCAGTTGTCATAGTAGGATGAGCTCTTTTTAAAAATCCAGTTAGTTATAAACTGCTGACAATTTGTATAGTCTCCGTTCTACATTTAGAAATATAGTTGAGAATTATGGTAACAGAGAGAAGGAAGTTTAGAATGGAATTGACTTACAGAATCTTACAGTTTTTCATGTATACAATCAGTATTCCCCAACCCAAATGTAAAAATTTTTAAGGAAGCCTTTCCACATGCATGGAGAACGTTCATGTTTTCAATTAGAAATCTCTCACCAAAATCAGAAACTTAATATTGGCATGTAGTCTGTAGAAAAAATTCTAAAGCATCGTGATCTCTCTGGCAGTGTGTTGGAATAAGAATTTTGAGTTAGTTACAGAATGTTGTAATTTACTGATATTCCCTTTTTTTTTTTTTTTAAATAGAGGTGTTTCTTTTCTTTCTAGAAACAACTTACAAGGTATACATAAATCTTATTAGACACGTGGCTGCAGGCCGTTTGACTGGAATTCCCTGCGGCTTTCTGAGGGCGGAGTCCTAGCCTGTATCCTGCACCATGCCGGCTTTGTCTACAGGATCTGGTAGTGACACAGGTATGTGAACCCAGGGGGCAGTTTTCCTTCCATCCCTACTGAAATCTTGCTCACAGTGAAACACAGCACTGCTTTAAGTGAGTGTAAGCAAGTCCTGCTTGTTTTTCTGTAACCACCACGGGGGGCATAAGATCAACTCAGAATGTGTCATTCTAGATAAAAGTTACTAGAGGACGTTGACTGACTGCTTCTTTCCCCAGGTAGTGATGACTTATGCCAACACTCTTCTACTACCTTGCTTTTGGAATAATGCCATGCATTTAATTAAAAAAAAATTATTTTAAACACGTAGAAAAGTACGGCAAATACAATGATACCCATATTATCCTTCACACAGACTTGATAACAAATAGGAACTTGTGGCCACACCTGCTTCACATGCCTCTTCTCTTTTTTCCTTTAGGGAATAAAACATTATCCCTACCCCATTCCTCCATTTTCTTTGTTCCTGTTATCAAAGGTAAAAAATATCCCGAAACTGATACATGTCATTAAGGGATTCAATTAAAACTAACAAGCAGACACATTTAACCTTATTATTAGTTGTAGGACTTAGAGATATATATTAATAGAATAAGTATTCCTAAGAAAGGGAGAAAACACACATACTTACATACCCATGTAAAATCCAAGTTCCTCCCTTCTCTGATCTGGTTCAGGAGGTGGGGGTGGTCATGGTGGATGCCCTTTGAGGTCCTATTCTGGGATTCCCAGAATCAGCACCTTTTTTAAGTATAGGGTCTTGGATGCCTCTAAGAACTGTTACTGTCAGTGGGGTTGGGGGATGTGCCAGGAACACCCCTCGAAAAAAGCGGTGGCAGAATGTGACAGAAAGGAACTTTTTCTGTGTTGCACTGCCCTTACTGAAGTTGGCTGGTACTGCCCTGTAGCCAGCTGTTGTCTCAGACTGGACATTACAGTTACTGGCCCCATAATCTCAAAAAAGCTGAATTGCAAATTTAATTTTGTCTTCTATTAATATTACCTTAGGACTTTCATTTGCACTATTAGCAAGTATCATTCTTTGCTATTTCAGGCATATTCATACTTACATTCTGGCAAGTTTTGTCTCATTTTTATTCATCAAGAATGATTTTTTTCCAGTGTGATTTACACTGAGGATTAGCTTTTGTCAGGAAGAAGTTTTGATTGTTAAATTCTATAAAATTTTTCTTTCTCAAGACTTAAACTTGGAAGCCAACTCCTTTGGAAAATTTTTTTTTCTTCTTTTTAGTTTTTATATAGTCCCACATTGTGTTCTACTATATAAAAATGAGTGATTTAACTTTCCATAGTGGTTTGGGAAATTATAGATAAAATTTATTTGAACCATACATTTACTACAGTGGTGTAATGAATACCTTTTAAACTTTGCTGTTCACCCAAAATGCCTCAGTTTAATTGAATGCAAAGTATTGCTGCTTACAAATAACTTGAAGGATGGTTAAAATAGAACATTTATAGTTTATAAGGCAGTTTAGATGTTAGTCATGAAAAATAGCATAGGCTATTTAGGATTTAGAAAGGGCTTTCCCGCACATAGCTGGCTCACTTAGTGCAGATCTAAAGTGCCTATCTGACTGACTTTGCTTTGTAATATTTTTTGACCTTATATCCCCACAAAGTTTGAGTCAGGCACAGAAGACATGCCTGTTCCAAGAGTCACTGCATTTGTGCAAGCCCCAAAATATATTGTATGCGTCAGAGGTTTATAGTCCTTTCTTAGTTCCTCCCAGTCCAGAGCAATTGACCAGTCAGGGCTCATTTTTCCCATAAGCAGCGTTGCTTAGCAATATCGTTGATGCCCCATTGTCAGGTCTCCAGGGAAACGGAGTTAGAGAGTATAACTGAAGGTCAGAGGCTTGTGTACTAGGAGAAAGGCACCCGACTCACTGCAGCCCAGAAAATAAAAGAATGTTCCCCTTTTCCATCTCATTTCTTTCTCAGTTTGATCAGTAGCCTTCAAGAGTTTTCTGCATATGAAATACTTACATATGTATGTACATAAATACATTGTTTTGAGTCTTTTTTTCTTCTTTTTTAATCACATTTTATTATACCCTGTTTATTCTATAACTTTTTCCTATACCAAGTAATATGTCTTGGAGAGATATTTCCATGGTATGTGTATAAAAGTTTGTATGCTTGTATGTGTTTGTGTTTATACATGTTTACCTATGTATCTACCTATCCCTATATATGTCTATATATTTACTTAATTCTTTTAAACAAATGCATAGTTTTCCATAGTATCACAATTTAGTGAACTATACTACTGTTAATGAAACCCTGGTTTTCCACCTTTTGTAAATATTTTTGGAGGAAAGAGGTACACATTTAATGGTGTTGTTAAACATCTTTTTGTTAAGAGAGAGAGTCTTGCTTTCTTGCCCTGGGTAGAGTGCTGTGACATCAGCCTAGCTCATAGCAACCTCAAACTCATGGGCTCAAGTGATCCTTCTGCCTCAACCTCCCAAGCAGCTGGGACTACAGGCACATACCACCATGCTTGGCTAATTTTTTCTATTTGTAGTAGAGACAGGGTCTCATTCTTGCTCAGGCTGGCCTCAAACTCCTGACCTCAAGCGATCCCTCCCACCTTGGCCTCCCAGAGTGCTAGGATTGCAGGCGTGAGTCACTGTGCCTGGCCATCAAACATTAATCATGATAGTTAAAAACAATCTATGGACGGTGCATTAAAGATCCTCTCCCCCACATTCTTGCCAATTTCAATATTATCAGTCTTTATAATTTTTACTAACCTGATAGGAACAACATGGTATCTTAAGTGCTAAGTGTGCATTTGCATGGAGCATATTTCCATTTGCTTATTTGCCATTCATTCCTCTGTGATTTACCTATCCACATCCTTTCCCCATTTTGTATTGGTTTATCATTTTCTAACTCATTTGCAGAATTTGTTCATTTGTATTTTATGTATTAATTCTTTGGGCCATCATAGGTTCAACACTATTTCTTCTCTTCTGGTCCATCATTTGTCTTTTTTTTTTTTATTAAATAGTATCATTTCTTCTATAGAAGTTGAAAACTTTTTTTAATAATCAAATCAATCTTATGACACTAATACTTTTTTTCTACTGCCTTTCCTATCCCAAGATCATGAAGATACTCTCTAAGATTCTCTAAGATTTTTTTCTAATAATTTTAAAGATTTGTTTTTATATATTTGATATTTTAGTCCACCTGTAGTTTGTATGTGGAGTGAGACAGTAATCTAATCTAATTTTATTTTATTTTTCCACATGGACCACCGGTTATGGTCCGGAATCACTTATTCTTCAGTTCATTCTTTCCATATAGATTTGCAATATCCCTTCTAACATATTCCAACATTACATACTTTCTGGATTCTCCTTCTTAGCTATAATGATCTGTTGATCTCATTTGAACATTTTTTTTAATGGACTGTTTCTTTAGAGCCATTTTAGAATTACAGAAAAATTATGAAGACCGTACAGAGCATTCCAGCATACCTCATGCCTAGTTTCCTCTGTTACTAACATCTTACATAGTATGGTAAATTAATGTCAATTGGCAAACCAATATTGATATGTTATCATTAACAAAAATCTATACTTTACACATATTTCCTCAATTTTGCCGCCCCCTTTTTTGTTCCAGGATCTCTTTCAGAGTACCACATCACAGTTAGTTGTCATGTCTCATTAAGCTCCTTTTGGCTGTGACAGTTCTAAGACTTTCTTTGATTTTGGTGGCCTTGGCAGTTTTGAGGAGTATTGGTAAGGTATATAGTAGGATTCCCCTCTGTTGAAATTCATCTGCTGTTTTTCTCGTGAAGAGAGTGGGGTTCTGTGTTTGTGGGGGTCAGATCACAGAGGTAAGGGGCCACTGTCATCCTGTCATAGAGTACATACTGTCACTTGAGTTATGTCTGTTGATGTTGACATTGATCAGCTAACTAAAGCACTGTGTGGGAGGGTTCTCTACTGTGAAGTTACTCTCTTCTCCCACCCTTTCCATATTGTAATCTTTGGTTGAAGTCTCTGCGTGCAGCCCTCACTTAAATGGTGGTGTGTTATGGTTCCCTTCTTTTGGGGTAAAGTAGCTATAAAAATTATTTGGAATTCTTTGTTTTTTATCTCCCATTTGTTAATATCAATATAGACTTGTGGGGAATTATTTTCTACTTTGTGTTGCAATCCAGTAATACTTTATTTTTGTTTTTCAAATTGTTTCAGCTTTGGTTCTTTCAGTTAGTAGCTCCTTTGATAAACCCCATCACCGTGGGCTCTTCTGCTTTGAGCCCTTCCTTCCTTTTGGCACTGCAGGTACTCCATGCTCACCTTGTGTCTTTCCTGCCCCAGTCCTTAGAAGCAGTTATTTCTCTAAGGAGCTCCCTAGTTCCTTTTAGTGGAGAATGGGATCAGAAACCAAGATCTGAGCAATAGATTTGCTCAGAGTGTTGTTTCTTTTAGGCTCTCTCAGCTGACAAAAGAAAGAAATATACGTGTGTATACTAACTTGTACACGCATGCGCGCACACACTTCTATGTGCAATCGTCTATAACTAAGGTAATGTCTTCAACTTGGATCAATGGATCATTATAGCCTCTTCCTCGCCTTGCTTATCTGTAAATTCCTTCTCCACCAGTGAAAAATCTGTCACTACCACCCACCATCTATTTACTTAATTGTTCAATCTCAGTGTACATACAGCAGTATCAGAATTGTTAACCTATGGGAAACAACTTTTATTAGCTAGAGAGTTGATTTTATTTTTATTTCTCTAATAGTGCCACACTGTCTTTAACCTTATGGGATTCCATAAGGAATCCTTTCCTGCATAAAAAACTATGTTAGTTTTAGTTTTATGATTTCATTACATACGGTTTTTACAAATATCATATAATGTGAAATATAGTGTATGTACAGAAATGCGCATAAAACTTTTATAAGTACAGTTTAAAAAGTGGCTATAATGCCAGCATCCATGTGACCACCTCTTAGGTCAAGAAATC